TGTGGTGGTCTGCATACAGGGCGGGATCTGGATGAATGGGCTTATTGTGGGGTAGGGTTCTGGGTGCAGAGGCAATGGGACTCTGCAGAAGGGGTCCAGGTGAAGGTGGTTAGGGCTCAGCAGAGGGGGCTCTGGGTATGGAGGGCTCAGCAGGGGGTAGGGGTCTGGGTACTGGCTTGGTGGGGCTCAGTGGGGTGGGGGTCTAGGTCTAGTGGGGTGGAGAGCTAGTCTGGGTGGTCCAGGTCCAGGTAGGGGTAGGGTAGGTGGAGGCTCAAGTATGCAGGGGCAATCTGGATGCAGGGGTGGAGTACAAATGCAGGGAGGTGGGGCTCAGCAGGGGTTTCTGGGTTCAGGGGTGCTTTAGATGCAGAGAATGAGGCTTGGTAGGGGTGTGGGTTTGGGTTCAGAGGGCTCAGTGGTGGGGCGGTTCTGGGTGCAGGAGGAGAGGCTTGGTGGGGCCATCTGGATATGAGGTGGGTCCAGATGCATGGGGGTTGGGCAGATGGGGGAGCAGCTCCCGTACAGTGACTCCTCCTCCCCACAGCTGAGGAATGAGGGAGCAGGGAGGAGGGGGTGTGTGGAGCTTCCAGCAGCCAGGAAGGTTTCTGGGGGTGGGTCTGACCCAGCCCTGGCCGCTCCTTGAAGGGAAAGAGGAAGTCCCATCCTTTCCAGCCCTGTTGGGACTAGCAGCTGAGCCTGGCACAGGGTAGGAGCCACCAGCTGGGGAGTCCCCAGCCCCCCTCCCACCCCTGATTTACCTCTCTGCTGGCTGCTCCAGATGCCTGAAACAATGCACCTGCGCTGCTGGGTAGTGGCACATGACCGGTTTTGCGGCTTCGCTTTGTTTGCCCCATCAGAAAGTCACTTTTCTGCAGGGAAGCAAATAAATCTGCGGGACACATGAATTCTACGCATACACAGTGGCACAGAATTTCCCCAGGAATAAAAATGACAAGATCAGTGGGATGCTTTAAGTTTTCAGATATTGTAGAAGGTGTAAACAAAGCTTGCAGATTGCCATACCTAATGTTTTACCTCCATGTAAAAGTGGCGAAAGTGCTAAATAGTAATCAAATTGTTTAACAGATTGCACAAATATACAGTGATGACATAAATGTTATCACAAGAGTACATGTTGACATTACTGTCAGTACCATGTTATTTCTAGTTGATTTTTTCATATATAGTTCCTGTTTAGATAACACCGCATGGTATAACTGATGCAACCTCAAACATTTTGTCATTCTTGTACCTGCTGAATTTTAACTACAGTGCGGTAAAATTCGAAAGCGTGGTTCTGCCTTAAGTTCTGCACTAAGGGTTTCAGAGGACTTAGAGCAAAGCATATGAGAAGCAGAATGCACCGCAACACTCTATCTAGGAATTTTAAAACTAGCTACCCCATGTTATCTGGATGCTTTCTAAACTATGTAACAAATTTTGAATTTATGTAAGAGGGTGTAAAAACACTGGAATTACGAGCCTGGAATACACCATCTTAGAATTTGGCCCTGTATGCGTCCTAAGAGCTGCATGGGCATTGTTAGTTAAAAATCTTCTTTAGGAGACGGCTCTTGTTTTGAGTTTTGTTACAAACCTGAATCATGCAGATGTTTGCTGGGGTTCAGCTGAACTTCTGGTAATTTCAAATTAAGTGTTAAGGTACAGAAATACTCAGTTAAAGCACTCAAACAACCTTAACTTTGCTGTATAGTGATACCCTTGAGGAAGAAGGGGGGAAACAAGAAAAAAAAAGTCTGTGTCTTTAAAATCAGTTTAATCTAATCTGGAACAAGGACTAATATGACCACAAAGACTAATAGGCATCATTCATAATTGTAAGCTATTGTATGACATCACTACATGGCAGAATAAAGGCTGTTTGAGTGCCTTCATTGTGTGTTTCCATATCTTACACATTTGGATTTCTTTTAGTTTAACATTAACTCTGAATTTCCTGGATCTGTATTGCTTGTTTTGATGATAATCACAACATCCAAATAATACATTTATCCTAACTTACTGGTATGTGTTCTCAACCTTGACTCCACCTTAATGTAGTTGTGTGTCTGATACAGTGGAGCCTTGTTTCCTTAACTACAGTATATTTCACTATCTCAAGAAAGCATTATGAATTAAAAGGCATATCCTGTCACCACCCTTTTGTGGAAATGCAAGATCTATAAATAAAGCAGCAATACTGGTGCAGTTCTGCTGCAGAGCAGGGGGTCAGTTAGGCTGTGGACTGGCAGTGCATGAGAGTGGGGGGGGCATCAGAGACAGGTGGGGGCACATGTTACAACCTTGCCCAATACCCCACTGTATGGTTACCAGTCTGTTGCAAGTGGACCCCGTTGCTGGGTCCTATGTGCTTCCAAGCTGAATGGATTTTGGTAGAGTCTAGTCATTTGTTTTTGTCCTAAAGAGGATGAAAAGTTGAAATTTAAAAACTTTTCATGGAATGGAAAATCTAAAAAATTTAAATGAACAAATGAATAAACATTTCATTCTGACATTTTAAATCAAAACAAAATATTTCAACACTCCCACAATTGAAATGTTTCATTTTGATTTGTTGAAATTATCCTAAATGCTTCATTTCAACATTAACCTGTGTTTTCTTATGGTGGCACATTGCATTATGAGAGGTGTAGCACAGCAGGGAGTCTGGCCCAAAGGGAGAATAGGGACATCAAGGTCCCAAACATCTCCCACAATGCACCCAGAGTCATGTGACCACACCACTCGGTCAGAGTGAAATCAGCATGTTGCCTTATGGGAGAGATGGTCCTCTAGGGGGCCCAGTCCATAGTAGAGAATAGGGACCAGAACAACAGCTCCAATAAGATAATGCTACATAATATAAAAATAGTTTAATGTTTTGTTGAACTTATTCAAAATGAAACCCAACCCAAAATGATATATTTATTTTCGAGTTTCTTGATGGAAAATTGAAAATTTTCAGCAAAATCAAAGTTTTTCTGAAGAAAATCATTTTGATGGAAAATTCCTGAACAACTCTAAACACAGTCTCAGCAAAGGAACTTCTTAACCACAGAAACTTTACTCGCAAAGCAGAAGAGGGCTACAGATCTTAGAGAACAAAACAAGAGTCCTGAGACACACCCTTTCTTGGTCTGACTTCACTTCTTCTCGGGAATCAAAAGGTTGTCAGTGATTTAAGTTAGGGAGAGTCTCTCCTGCTCTCACTTGCCTGCCAGTCCTTTTTATGTGGTGATGGTTTCTCCCCCTCCTGGCACACAGCAGCTCCTGCTCTTATGTAGGCCTCTGTCTCCCTGCCATGTACTCCACTAGGGACCACCAACTTCCCTCCAATTATGCCCACCCCGGACACTTTTGAGGGAAGTCAATTGTTCCAGGGGGATGGGCTGGTAGTTGAGAAACATACATGATGGCTCTAGTCTTGATGGCTTCTCAGTGATAGGGTTTCAGTGAGGTGTCAAGCCTCTTCCCCCAGTACAGCAGCTGCCTGGAATACATAAGAGGCTGCCTTCAGGTAAGATTAGTAATATGTTCAGCACATAGCACAAAATGGACTTCATAATGTGATACAGACATATCTCACTCTGATATAGCACACTCACTAGCTCCACAAACTACATGGACAGAATACCTATGTAAAAGATGTATAGCAGAAAGTAGCCATTTATAGCTTGAAAACTGGAGTAGTAGGTTTGAGGAGGCTGCACAGGTGCTCAGCATCCTAGCTCCAGGATGGGAAGGAAAATTTAATTTCCTCCCCCTACACATTCTGCACAAAGAATATTTATTAGGAGTTTACTTGGGCAGATAATAAGAATTTGTCTCCAAGGGTCACAGAATCATAGAATCATAGAATATCAGGGTTGGAAGGGACCTCAGGAGGTCATCTAGTCCAACCCCCTGCTTAAAGCAGGACCAATCCCCAACTAAATCATCCCAGCCAGGGCTTTGTCAAGCCTGACCTTAAAAACTTCTAAGGAAAGAGATTCCACCACCTCCCTAAGTAACGCATTCCAGTGTTTCACCACCCTCCTAGTGAAAAAGTTTTTCCTAATATCCAACCTAAACCTCCCCCACTGAAACTTGAGACCATTACTCCTTGTTCTGTCATCTGCTACCACTGAGAACAGTCTAGATCCATCCTCTTTGGAACCTCTTTTCAGGTAGCTGAAAGCAGCTATCAAATCCTCCCTCATTCTTCTCTTCCACAGACTAAACAATCCCAGTTCCCTCAGCCTCTCCTCATAAGTCACGTGTTCCAGTCCCCTAATCATTTTTGTTGCCCTCCACTGGACTCTTTCCAATTTTTCCACATCCTTCTTGTAGTATGGGGCCCAAAACTGGACACAGTACTCCAGATGAGGCCTCATCAATGTCGAATAGAGGGGAACGATCACGTCTCTCGATCTGAATCATAGAATCATAGAATCATAGAATATCAGGATTGGAAGGGACCCCAGAAGGTCATCTAGTCCAACCTCCTGCTCGAAGCAGGACCAATTCCCAGTTAAATCATCCCAGCCAGGGCTTTGTCAAGCCTGACCTTAAAAACCTCTAAGGAAGGAGATTCTACCACCTCCCTAGGTAACGCATTCCAGTGTTTCACCACCCTCTTAGTGAAAAAGTTTTTCCTAATATCCAATCTAAACCTCCCCCACTGCAACTTGAGACCATTACTACTCGTTCTGTCATCTCCTACCATTGAGAACAGTCTAGAGCCATCCTCTTTGGAACCCCCTTTCAGGTAGTTGAAAGCAGCTATCAAATCCCCCCTCATTCTTCTCTTCTGCAGGCTAAACAATCCCAGCTCCCTCAGCCTCTCCTCATAAGTCATGTGTTCCAGACCCCTAATCATTTTTCAGAGTAACAGCCGTGTTAGTCTGTATTCGCAAAAAGAAAAGGAGTACTTGTGGCACCTTAGAGACTAACCAATTTATTTGAGCATGAGCTTTCGTGAGCTCACGAAAGCTCATGCTCAAATAAATTGGTTAGTCTCTAAGGTGCCACAAGTACTCCTTTTCTTTTTGCTAATCATTTTTGTTGCCCTTCGCTGGACTCTCTCCAATTTTTCCACATTTCCTGCTGGCAATGCACCTACTTACACATCCCAAAATGCCATTAGCCTTCTTGGCAACAAGGGCACACTGCTGACTCATATCCAGCTTCTCGTCCACTGTAACCCCTAAGTCCTTTTCTGCAGAACTGCTGCTGAGCCATTCGGTCCCGGTGCATGGGATTCTTCAGTAACTGTGCAAATGAGGAGAGATCATGGACATTTAGAAGAAAACCTTCAACTTGCCTAAGGGAAGGATCAGACCCTAAATTTTATATTTTTAAATGTTCTTTATAGTATTAAAACAAATCATTGTCTTATATTTTATGTGCATAATATGGTGTTTTAGAAATCACTGCAGTTTTTGTTTTTATGGAATATTTATTACTCGCCAATCTACTGTCACTAAAGAAGAGAAGGTAATTGACTTTGCATTTACTGTAGGATGTCGTTTCTTTATCCTGTCTGAAATTTTTCACTAAATTGATTCTGAGGCTAGTCCCCCTGGATGCTAGCACAGATGGCCTATTGCAACTGTCAGGCTACAATGAATGTTGGGCAAGTTAAGGGATGTATTTTCATCTCTATACATGAGAATTTATGACCATATAACTCCCATTAGTGCTAGTGGGAGTTAGGTACTTAAAACCCTATTTCATGAAGATGAAAGTATATATCTAAATTGGAAGGTGAGTTACTGTAGTGTGGGTTCCTACATCATGAGCAGAAACAGAGTGTTATTTGCTTGTTTTACAAGTTGGTGTTAGGTACCAGCATTTTTTGCTCTTTAATTATTTTCAGATTTTAAAAAATATTTTAAGACAAGTACAAGTTCAAATATAAAAGAGTGCTGTACAAAAAAGCCTTAATGGTTACTTACTGTGAGTAGGAAAAAATAAGAGATTCATCCTCCTCCTTAATAATAAATAATAGAGTATCCTTGTATCACTTGTCCAAGTTGAATCAAGGCACACTAGCTAAAACCAAAGAATACCAAAAAGAAGGAAGTGAAATAGGAGATAAAATTGGTGGATGATTTTTGTGTTAGAGTACACAAAACTGTAGTGTGGAGGTTTCAGGTATACCTTATATAATCCTGCTTTATGATAGCATTATCTTTGGAGACAGGTTTAAATTTGACTACAGCTGTTCTCCAATATAATCACAATGACTTATTGTAACCAGGCTTATTACTTATGTAACTTATTGCAGGCTGCCCCTCTGAAGTAATTGAAGAGACCCAGACCTGTTCTTACTCCACAGTTCTGGTATCTCCTTCTGCTGTCTCCATCCCGCTCCCATTTATTTTATTGTAACCATGTAGGTTTCTGAGCAAACTTCTCCTCTGAAAGTGTTAAGGGCTTCATCTTTTTTCAAACAGGATCAGATCCTAAGAGCTTTGGAAGAGGAATGTGTCCAGATACAATTATGAGTGCAGGTTACTGTTAGAAGAGATTTAGTATTATTGAGCAATAAAATCCAGCCTGTACAATGTGAGAGGCTTTCTTCTTTCATGCTCTCCCATTATACAATATGTTCAATATGCTGCCAGAATGTGGGAGATGTTTCACAGTAATATGGTGAAAGGATATCTATCTTTATGCTTAGATGTACATATTTTACTATGTGCTTCCAATATGACCATTCTTACAATATATAACTATCTTTCTTTTTGTTTTACAGCAAGCACTGTAATTATATCATGCATGGATGCTTGTTCATTTAATAACATCACCTTTCCACTCTGTGCTTTTAACAATTCTTCTGAAAGCTTCCTGCAACAAGGAAGTAAAAAACAGACTATTTTTTTGAAGGTCTTTATAAATTACTCTGATTTTCAAAATACTCCAAGTATTTGCCAAGTCTCCAGGAGTGAACTGCAACCATGTATTTTAAACTCAGCCTGTGAATCCAAGAATGATATGAATGTTGTTCACCAGGAATCAAGATCAGAAGGTAAAGAAAGCGAACAAGGGAAAAGAAGTGCTTAGTTTAGAGGTAGTTAATTACTTGCATATATGATTTATTCATTTTTTGTCAGTTAAACCATCATGAAAATGTAATAAGCTTTATACTGATTCCTTAATCATAAACTCTTGGAAAACTCTGTGAATATAGCTTCTTGGCCTTGGCAGCTTATTTTTGCATTGCTACAAAGTGCATAATTAATGACAAATTCTGCCCTCAGATACATAGGCAGTGTCGTGAGTGCAGAATTTATATTTAGAGCTAAATGCTGCCTTCTTCTATGTTGTGGCCTCATCAAAAGTCTATTGAAGTCAAAAGGAGTCTTTCCATTGACTTCCATGGGCTTTGTGTCAGGCCCTTGGTGCAGAAATGTGAAGTTATGAGAAAGAGTATAGAGATCCACTTTTCCTCCCTCTATTCCACCCTCTATTTCCTCCCTCTATTCCAGCAGCGAGCCAGAATACAGCCACATGTCCTTAACTTATACCATGATTTGTTTCTAAAAGTTTGCACCTGTCCATCCTTCCCATCTTTGTGCATTCTATTTAAATCCTTAATTTGCCCCGAAAGGGCATCCTGTCATCAGTTTTCATGCAGAACTCCTTATTGATTTCAATGTGGAGCTCTACTATGGAATATAATTAATCAAAAGATTAACTATAGATTATAGTTTTCCTGTGGTGAAAGGGAATATTGAGAGAAAATATCTGAAGAATGGCTTTGAAGACAGGTAATAAATAAATAATAAAACAAATAATGATTAACAAGTGTAGATTGTGGTTAGTTCTATGCAAGTGCATGGGTACCAGACAGCTAAAAGAATCAGTGTCCATGTTTGCAATATTGAGGGTGCATAGTTCCAGAGTGGCATTGGATGATTCAAGTAGGACAAGACTGAAAAGGTCCTAGCCTCTTTCCAGCCACGCAGGGCAGAGCAGGGAAGTCAGAATCTACACCTTTTCAGAGAGGGTCTCATCCTCTCTCTGGCATTCACTCCTTCAGTGCTTCTGGAGACATTCTGGATTTTGCCCTCTCAGCATGGGCTCTGCCTACTGTGACAAAGTTGGAATGTTCTGTAATATTTTTATGAATCCTAGGCATGCCTCAGTTTCCCTCAGTATGTTGCATTGCTATCCAGTGGATGCAAAAGTGTTAACACTGCTCCTGGAACAGTGCAGTAGGTGTGTGTGTGTTTGTCACCTTGCTGTCTGGAGGGAATGAATATAGTCATTAAAGAACTGGCTCAAACTGACCCAGATCAATTGAGGGTCCAGCAAGACAGAGAGATGTCCCAGTCAACATCTAACAGCAGGAAACCCCAGCAGGCAGAACTTGGGAAATGAGCTGGAGAACAAGATGCAGGTGACTGGATGAAGGGGGCTTTTTGGAGGGACTCAGGAGCCCAGACTGGGAGAAACTAGAGGGGACAAGAGAGGGATCCAGAAATGGAGTCCATCACAGCTTCACTGGCTCATCATGGCACTCCTATGACCAAGATTGGACTATGGCTTAATTTCTGCCTTTCTGTGCTGATCTAAGGACTTTCAGATTTTGTGTACCAGGTGACTAATAAATGGGTACCTTGTTTTGAAAAGGCTGCCTGTGTCACTGCAAACACTCACTGAAAGAACTGCACCCTGAAAGGGTACTGTACAAGCCTCCTGTAGGACCCTGGCTTGGCTGGATTCATTACAGGGAGCTATGGAGAGACAGGGATTCTGGTGCTGATGGCTCAGTCTTGGAGTCATGGGCCTTCCCCTGTGGAACTGTGTGGGTCCTGGGGGCCTGGCCCACTAAAGGGGTCACTCCCAGGAGATTAGTTACAGGCTGGAGTATAGACCAGACTTTGTGACTCTTTGACACCTGCAAAAACAAGAACAGGATCCTGAATGAGCAAGTGCCCAAGTCTATGATGTTGTTGCTGTTGTTATTTTCAAACTGCATTCATAAAAATGAATCCTCTAGCTTTTACAAATTAGTTCCCTGTACAGATTTGGAGAATAACCAAATAAGAAGTACATGGGACAAATTCTGCTCTTATATTCGCTTGTGCAACCGTATTGATTTTGACAGAGTTATGTGGATGTTACTGAGGGGACAACTTGTTCTATGTTGTTGACATAGACATGATGGAAGCCCCATAGCTTGAATCACTTAAAATTGGACTGGGCAAAGCTCTGGAAAATATTCTGAAATGGCAAAGAGATGGGTTAGATGACCTAATAGGTCATGCCCAGCTCAAACCTCTATAATTTTCACATGTTCTTTTTTTTTAATTTAGCGTTGGTTTGTGTTATCTCTGACAATGACAGATTCCAAAAAAACTTTTGCAGCTGGTAAATGAAGTCACTAACAGTTACAAGGAAAACACATTTTGTATAGCAAAATCAATAGAGCTTAGATTCATTCTGAAGGCTTATTACATATATTATTGTCCATTTTACTAAGTATTCAGTAATGATGAGTCTTGCCATCTATTTATAGGAATGGGGTTTAGTAGTGAGTTATGGTACTTTTATTTTGTAAGTACAATGTGCTACATAGCAGATCTTAATGTTTTTTATTTATTTGTAGTTCCAGAAGTGACAGGATCATTAGAAATGAAAGCAAAAAATTTTATTTCTTTCCATAAACATTTCAATTTCACTGTGGGTTATGTGAATGAAGAAAGCGAGGAATACAACACTTACTATATACTGGAAATCCACATTAGAAATTCTACAACCAGAAGAGGAAACACTACAGAAGAAAATATAAATCACTTATGTATAGCAGCAATGATGGAAGACCAAAATGGCTGTATAAATATTTCACTGCAACTACAGACTTATGTGAAAAGTAAGTTATGAAAAGGGAATCAGAGGGCAAATCAAACATGGAACTAATATGAATCTTACACTAAGGAAGGAAAACTTCCAATAGGCAACCTTAAGCATTTCCAATAGGCAACCATATGCAACTCTTTGAAAGTATCCACCCCAAAATTGAGTGCAATTTTGATTTCTTGAAAGGCCATGGTCAGAATGGTCTTTAGATAGTACCTTAAGGTAGATTTGCTGTATATTTTTGGAAACAAACCAAGAACACTAACATCTGTGCCTTTGATTAACATTTTTTTTGGCTTATAGTTCAGAGATTGATTGAATTTGTGTTTAACAAGAATTGATTTTTCTTATTTTTATTAGTTTATTCTGCCAAAGTTTTTGGCACAGTTCTGCTCCCTTTGAAGTTAATGGCAAAATTCCTGTTGACTTGAATGGGAAAAAGGTCAGGCTGCAATGTCAGTGTCATGATGCAATGTTTCGCTTATATTCTAAGTCCAGTATGCTTCAGGGAGAAGTCTTAGTCCAGTTAGTGAAGACAGTCTCCTTGCAAAGACAATCTTTTCCTAGAGGATAGCCTGTCAACTCTTTAAATTTCTTCTTGTGCTGCATAGGCCTTTTAAGAGTCTTTTCTGTCTGATTATCTGTCACACTCAATGCCAGAGAACATTTGCCATTGGGAAATTGGTGAACTCAAGTATTGTTTATTATTTATTAATGTATTGAAAATTCTAGATTTTTAAGTTGGCTGTGTCTTCACTAGGGAAAAAGAGGTGTGTTCTTCACTTAAATTAACTAACTCAAATTAACTAAGTTGAGGTAAAATCCTAGTGAAGATAAGGCAGTCTGCAGTTTTCACACAATTAAGCAGGTTGAGTTGAAGTCTAGGCTGCCTCATAGTCTTTCACTCGATCTACTAACTTGTGTTAAAGCTACAATCTGTTAGGTCGTAAGTAGAACTTTACCTCAAGTTAATTAACTCAACTTGAGAACATTTTTTCCCCTTAAGAAGACAAATTCTAAAGTTTGGGAGGTGTTCAGAGCATCAAGGAAATAAAAATCAATAAATATAGGGTAGCCAGGTGGGGAAGAGCCATAAAATCTGGCCTGTGGAAGGGGAAGGCATAGGTAACTGCATAAGGCTGCCTCTCAGGAGCAGCTTATCCATGAGAATTGGGAGCTACCAAATGGAACCATCTTGTTACTTACTGGGTTCCTCTGTGGTTTCTCAGCTGTAGCTGAGTAGGAGACCCAGAAGGAGTTAATACAGCTCTAAACTATATTAGCTACTGAACAGATTTCCACATGGAACTCCGGTGGGTTTCTGCAGCAGATATTTCCACAGAGAACAGCCTCCCGCCGATGCTTTCCCTGTCCCCAAGATGCTTTCTCTCAATAGAACCCTAATAGATGGGATTCCCCAGGAGGTGGTCTTGGAAGTGGCACTCCTCTCCCTTTTTGCAGAAGCAAGAAGACTTCCATAAGCACCATGTTCCTCCTTCTCACGCATATGCAGTCGAACTATCTGGTTGTGGACACAAGAACAGGTGTATGTTGTACACTGGGCATGTTCCTTCTATTTCCCATCAAAACATATACCACTTTTTTGTTTATATAACACCTCCTTATATGTAGATGTTGACTTTTGCAGCATCTTCTCATTGGCAGGGTCACATATAATTTACAAAAAAGAAAAGGAGTACTTGTGGCACCTTAGAGACTAACCAATTTATTTGAGCATGAGCTTTCGTGAGCCACAGCTCACTTCATCAGATGTGTACCGTGGAAACTGCAGCAGACTTTATATACACACAGAGAATATGAAACAATACCTCCTCCCACCCCACTGTCCTGCTGGTAATAGCTGGTAACAGTCTCTACGTAAAAGAATAAATGGACACAAATCAGATGTCAAGAATTCTAACATTCATAAACCAGTCGGAGAACACTTCAATCTCTCTGGTCACGCAATCACAGACATGAAGGTCACTATCTTAAAACAAAAAAAAACTTCAAATCCAGACTCCAGCGAGAAACTGCTGAATTGGAATTCATTTGCAAATTGGATACTATTAATTTAGGCTTAAATAGAGACTGGGAGTGGCTAAGTCATTATGCAAGGTAGCCTGTTTCCTCTTGTTTTTTCCTACCCCCCCTCCCCCCAGATATTCTGGTTTAACTTGGATTTAAACTTGGAGAGTGGTCAGTTTAGATGAGCTATTACCAGCAGGAGAGTGAGTTTGTGTGTGTATGGGGGTGGGGGGAAGTGAGAAAACCTGGATCTATGCAGGAAATAGCCCGACTTGATTATGTAAAGAGTTGTCACTTTGGATGGGCTAGCACCAGCAGGAGAGTGAATTTGTGTGGGGGTGGAGGGTGAGAAACCTGGATTTGTGCTGGAAATGGCCCACCTGTTGATCACTTTAGATAAGCTATTACCAGCAGGACAGTGGGGTGGGAGGAGGTATTGTTTCATATTCTCTGTGTGTATATAAAGTCTGCTGCAGTTTCCACGGTATACATCTGATGAAGTGAGCTGTGGCTCACGAAAGCTCATGCTCAAATAAATTGGTTAGTCTCTAAGGTGCCACAAGTACTCCTTTTCTTTTTGCGAATACAGACTAACACGGCTGTTCCTCTGAAACATATAATTTACACAACTTCAATGAGTTGTTAATTCACATATTTTACTTAACTATCTCAGACATGCACTGTGGTACATCCAGATGAAGATGAAACTTAATTCCAAACAATCCTACTGCTTCTGAACAGAAGGGGAGGGAAGAGAGAGGCAAAGGTGTTTTGTCTTTTCTTTTATATTTGTAAGCCACTGAGATACCCTGGTGATGGGCATGGTATAACTATCTAGATAAAATGATGGATTACAGAAAATTGCTTTATTTTATCTCTTCTCCATTTTATTTTAAAACAGATCCAATGTGTATGCTGAAGATCATTTGGCTTGTTCTGATTCCATTTGTTTTTGTGCTTGCCGTCATTATTGTTGCCTACAAAGTATTCCAAGAAAATAAAAAACACATCAGTAAGTAATGAAGCTATGTAAATTTAAATTCCTATAATTTTTAAAAAGTACATTCAGCTTTGCAATAGGCCACACCCTTATTTATTAAAGCAGTTTAAAGAATTATGTTTTAGTTGCAATACACGATACAATAATTGCAGATGGGGGATTGGAAGATTTAGCAGATTGATAATGTAATCTTTCCCAACTGGATCATAGGTTCAAATCCAGCAAAGGCTGGCAGTGACTGAAATATGTTAACAACTGAGAAATGCCTGGTGGTCTATGTAAAATGAGCTGATGGTTTCAGTCCAGTTCTTGGAGATAGGAAACCACAATTAATGCCCTTGTTGAGTGTCTCAACAGAAGAGCCAAAGACTGAATAGGCATAGAAACTGAAATATCCTCTTGCTCCTAACGATGATCCCTGCAGGTTAGGATTGAGACAAATTAGGTAGATGTGATGAAGCATTCACAGCAGCTGCCTGTTCTGAAGACTGATAATCCAAATTCAGTTCTGGTTCAGTGACCCAGAGGTCAACTGTGTTGCACTTGCACTGTAGCTGAATTTGGACCAGATGGCACTTGGTTTCAGTGCTGTTAATTCAGCACCTTGTATGCATTTTGAGTATTTTAAAAAGCATTTACTGTGCTATAGAAGAGTTTGTCTTGAGTTCAAAGACCAAAATAATTTTCTAAACAGTATCTTCAACACTATGGGCTAAATTCTGGCTGCTCCAGGTGAGATCAGTTAGGGTAGAGGCTACACAGGGAACTACCTCCAGCCTAGTAACCCAGCACTCCATTGAGAACTAGACTTCTGGGCAACTGACATAATGCCTGCACCCAACAACACTCTTCTGTACTGAAAGAGTGTGGCCAGCTGGCCTTTAATACAAGCAGGTCTCTGATTTCTTTGTGACTACCAGAACTCTGAGACCAGTAGGTGCGGAGGGGCGAACGTACTGCTCCTTTCACCAGCATATAAGGAGTGTTAGTAAGCTAGCTCCCACCACACAGTGCTCACTCAGGCATCTGCCCAAAGCAGCCAGGATGCCTCTGAGCACTAGCACTCAGTTGTTTTAGCTTTGTTCTCTCCCAGTGCTCCAGAACTGAGCAACGCCAGAAGTTTTCATTACTCATATGGCTAAAATGATATCACATATGTGCCTTTAGTCATCCTAACTCTGGGCACAATGAGCCATTTCTGTAATAAAGGTACACTATAGGATTCTGGCTTTAATCATAATTGGTCAAGAGGAAGAAAACTAAATGCATGGAAAATTTTTCTATTTAAAGGTGAACTGAAAGATTATTTAAATGAATAAGCACTAGAGTTGTCTAAGATCCTAAATCTGAAGCAAAATACATAGATTACAAATAAAAAAAAATATATTTTACACTATATCATTAGAAAATTATTTTATCTTTTTATTTCTTGCCAGAACCTGAGTCAGAGTTTTTTTCCCTTCTTTTTTTAAAATACAAAAAAACAAAACAACCCCCCCCAAACAAAACAAAACAAAAACCAACAACACATAGCCCTGAACTCGTGTCCTAGCAGGTAAACTAAAACTATTATATCTTGTAGTTTAATATTAAAAATATTTTAATAGAAATTTTAAGATTACCTGTGCATTTTAAGGATTTAAGAGTAAGATTTTATAGCCTTTGGATCATAACCTGTGATTGTAATGCATACATTTCTAAGGTAATTAAACAATTTTTTGTATTTATTTTTAAACAACTCAGTCCATCTTTAATTGAGTTTCTCAGAATTTTCAAGAACATAATCAGTGAAGAAAAATATTATTTAAATTTTCAAGCTTCTAAGCTTCCAATTAATGATTTGATTCCAGAATTATAATTTCCATTAATTGATAATTATTTTAATTAGTTAAATGTAGAATGTTATATTTCATAAAAGCCCACATTAAAAGAATGTTAAGGTTGCAAAGTCAACCACACAAAGGTTAGAAAATGCCAGAATTAAGTTTGCCTCTCCAATCTGAATTACACCCCTTTGTGCATATGCAGTGTGATGCAGTCTTTAATTACGTACTAGATGACTGGTGCCCCCGCAAGACACGTGACCTTCCCACCCCATGTTATCTGGGGGTGGAGGGGCTTTGTACTCCCGCTGCGCCGGCTCTCCCCGGCATGTTCAGCTGCTCGCAGCCAGACCCCAGAGTCACTCCCAGATGCTGGCTGGTGCAGCACAGCAGTTGCCTGGGAGAGTGCATGGTTGCAGTGGCAGCAGGCTGCCTCCCTCCTGGGCTTGGCTTGCTGGACAGCATCTGAGAGGGTCGGGGCCACCCCCACCCCTGCATGCTCAGTCGGCTCCTGTCCCCAGAAGCTGAGCCTGGGCACGGAGGGGTGGCAGCGGCAGCCTGTTCCTTGCCCAGGCTTGACTTCTGGGGACAGGAGCGGGGGGCAAAGGGTGGGCCCTCCGACACATTTGGCCACTGTTCCCAGAAGCAGAGCCTGGGTGGGGGGCAGCCTGCTGCTGCCGCAGCCAGGTGCACTCCCAGTCTGCCACTGTGCTGCACCAGGCAGTGTCCCAGGCACCCTGGTTGTTCCTCACCATAATATTTAAGTGTCACAAATATAACAGAATTTATCTTCAAGGTGAGATATGAGATATAGGGGAGAATGATTGCTAAGATCAGGGGTTGGATCCAAAAGGTGGTCAAGGCTAGTTCTGTCCAGTTCTCTCTTTCCATTTCCCCCGGGAGGGTGTGTGTGGTTCCTTCGCCATGTGGTGCTCTCACAGAAGGGGACAGGTTGCTGGGTCCATGAGGAGGGAATGTTAGGAGGAAGCTCAGCCTGACTCCTCCTCTTCTGCTCCCAGACTGACTGACTGCCCCCAGAACTCGCAGTGACCAGTATGTGATGCTTCTACTTCAGCAGTGATTTGGGCCTTCAGTTAACATTCAGTTAATATTTTGGCAGGCTGCCAAAGTTATCCTGAGGTACATAAGTGTCTGAAAGGAAAAAATCATTTTCAAAATCCTAACTTGAATGGAATTTCATTGGACAATGAAAAATCTGGCACCAAGATTTTCTCTTGGCCCAATTTCCCAGTCTTACTGTAAACAATGGAGGTGCTAAAGCAACTTAAAAGAAGTCACAAGGCTCTTTTATAATGGAAAGTGTTAGGCAACCTAAATATAGGGGTTGCTATGAGCTCCCGGTGACGAGTGATATATATGTAACGATACAGCTGAAGATAAACTATTTTTGTTTTAATCAGATAGCAAATATAGAGCAACAGCAACTTCTGTTATCCAACAAAGAGACAGCAAATGGTCAAAAGAATCTACACCTACTAATATTACTCAGCTCCTTTCAGGTGAGTAATATATAAGCAAAATAAAAACCTAACGAATTCTGAAACAGAGAGGGGGCCAAGAAAGACCTTCTAAGACATCCTGTCTTAATCCCTATATTTTGTAGCATTCTCACTACATCTTTCACAATGTCTCTTCTGGCCTGCTCTAGGACCTCAGCAACGATGGTACTGTGAACACCTCTATTGTTAATCTTCTCCATTACTCAGCTATGCTCATTGAAGTCAATGGGATTTTTGCTGTTGGCTTCAAAGAAAGCAGGAGGAACATAGCCATAGTTAAGCATGTTTTCCTAATATGTAATCTAAACACTTCTTTCCTTTGTTTTAAACCTTTTTTCCTTGTTCTGACATCTCCTGAGACTGTGAATAACTCCCTTTATGTATTTTGTTTAACTTGTACAGTTTAACAGACTCTAATAATATCCCTCCTAAATCACCTCTTTCTTAGATGATAAATATTTAGCTAGCTCAGGTTCCTCATATATTCTAATCCTAGTATGTTGCCCCATCATTTATTTTTTCTAGATTTTGTATCTGAAACCATGGGTAACTGAAATACACATTTGTTTTACATGTTATCATTCTATGTATAAATCTAAAAAGACCATAACTTTGTTTAACAACTGCGTTGCACTGAGTCCTCTTATTTAGGCCCAGATCCTCAGATTTCATTGAGAGTTAGGTACCTAAATATCTTTGAGGTTCTGGACCTTACTTCTGAGTATCTGAGTATCTTACTTCTGCCCACAGATCTTTCATGGATTTGCTGCTTTCTAATTAGCAGCCTCCAATTTGTATTTTTGCTGTTTATTTCCTATACCTGTATTATTGTTCAGTGTTTGTACAGCGCCTAACACAATAGGATCCTGGTCTAGGACTGGGTTCCTAGATGCTATGATAATACAAATAATTATAATAGCTATCAGTATTGCCTTGCATTTGTTAGCATTGAATTGCAAGCCTGTTTGGTCAAAAGCAGGAGATGACTTAAGGTTGGGTAACCGTTCCCTCCTATGCAGGGAGTTGGTTTGGGGGAAGGGAATAACACAGCCCTGACTCACCTAATGTACAGGAGCTATTTCAGGGACAGCAATGCAGGAATTTGTTCTTGCATGAAAGCAGATTGAGAAGATGAGAAGACATAATCAGTTTGGGAGAATGCCCTCACATGCCCGGGCCTGCAAAGAGGCAAAAGGGATGGGGAAAGGGGCACTATAACCACTTTGTTACCAATAGTGCTGTCACAGCAGTTTAAGGAGTTTGTGTATTATGACTGGCACCTTAGAGCTCACGAAAGCTTATGCTCAAATAAATTGGTTAGTCTCTAAGGTGCCACAAGTACTCCTTTTATTTTTGCGAATACAGACTAACATGGCTGTTACTCTGAAACCTGTATTATGACTGTGATGTTAGCACTGAAAGCTAGAGTCACAAGCCTCTAGTGTTTGTAATGAAATCCGGCAGAAAGAAATCAATGTGAATGGGCAGGCCAGATATATAACCTTGCTACAAGAAATTAAAAAGCAACTGTATGGCAGGCCTAGTGTGGATTCTCTACAAAGAGAGGAAGTCATCTGTATAAAAGCAGAACTTGTGTCATCCCTTGACTGACAAGCACTCTATTCTCAGCTCAGAACAAATTAAATGGGCTAGCGAACAAATGAATCCCCATGTCATGTGGAAATAACTCTGGGTCAAATCCTGCAGCCTTCTGAAGCACCATAGAAGGCCTTACATTGGTGTGACTTACTGTGAGGCATATCCGAGGCATGGAAAGGCCACACAGGGTGACTTTACTCTTCTTTTGTGCCATTGTACTGGAGTTCGGGGCATACCTGTAAAATGTCCCTCAAGTCACATGAAGGCATACAGTTTAGTTCCAAAGTTACCTCCTTCCAACACAAAGTTGGCATTCACTCACTTTTATTGTTGAAAATTATTTATATCAGAAAAAAAGAACTGTGAAACTGAGGTTATAGAAAGACTTACGTATGCTAAGGACTTACGTATGCTGCCAAGACTTTTAAATTTCCTGCATCAATAATTTTGTTGTGTTCCTCATTTTCGGTCCCTTGTCACATATTCCATCCCACATCAGGGCCTTGGCAGATAAGGTATTGTGGCCTGAGGCTCCATGACTCTGCAAGCTCCTCTTGACTAAAGCCCACATTAAAGGATAGATTCAAAACGATAGTAGCAACTTGAAATGGCTGTGCTGGTTTTCCGAAGCCTGGTGAAGGGGGAGGATTCCATTCCTTCCCTCTGCGCAGAACCCATTGATATGGCTTTGGGCAGGAATCAGTATTTGACCTTCTTAGTGTACATTATTAGCAACCCAGGGAGACTCTGGTGCATGGCTCAACTCACTGCAGGGTTGAGTTGGTAACCAACATACTAAACTGAGGAGATTATTCAACTTGGTCAAAATATCTTTGCTGGAAGAAAGGAAAGAATTGTCCTGGGCTCAGAGTATTATTGATATTACTAGAAGAGCCGTACTGTTTAATAAATTCCATGTAATTTGATTTCCTTATCTTTTTATTGATTAACACAAACCAGGAGTCCTCTGAAATAACTGTAAATGGCAAAAAAAAAATTACAAAGTCAACAAATGGGAAAATAGTTTTTAAACTGTCTAGACTTGGGCACCTCGCTGATCATTCAACATATTAGCAATATCCTTGTCTTGCCAATTTCTTCAGCAGTTTCAAGAGTCTCAATAATTTCTCTCTATAATCCAGTAACTTGTGGCATTTCAGTCTTACCTAGAAACGAGCGGATAGCTTCCTGTCTGCCTAAGCACTCTTGGGAATACAATTTATATTTCCAACTTTTAGAGAGCTGGCTAACTTCTGAAGATGTATTTATGAGCTCATTATTTTCATCCCTCAGGAAAGGAATCTGTCTCTGAAATCTTTTGTCTTTAGTAGCTCTCACTAATAACATTCTTGTTTTGTCACTATGTTCACAATAGCATTGTTTAGCACTGTATGTCTAAGGGTTTTTTGACCATGGAGTGTCTTTTGAAATCCCAGTGTAAATTTATGATGTTGAAGAAAGAACATGTAATTGGTCTTAATGTTATGCTCCTTCCACTCCAGGCTACCCATTTGACTGAAAAGTTTCTTGCTTATGAACTGCTTTTACTAACACCATAGGGCTGATTATGGAGCCATTCGCTGGTTTTAAACCATCATAACGCCACTGACTTGAGTGAAATTACTCCTGGTTTACACCCATACAGCAAGCAGAATCAAGACCACATGGAAAGAAATGCTGTTTCTCCTAAGCACTAGTTTTAAGATCAGCCGTTGCAAGATGGATTATAAATATCTACTACCTCCATTGTTTCAGAGAGCCATACTTCGACTCATTACATATTAGAATACATTCTCCAACTAAGTTGTCGTGCTCATGACAATGCAAAGTTAACTTTAATGAACTTAGGACATTTTGGGTTTTTTTTTTTAAAACAATGTTATGATGCTTCTGCCTTTCAACATTATTAAATTAGCATTCACGTCATAGGAGCTGAAGACAGACTATGAATAAATCTCCATAATGTCACTGAATATAACAAAGATCATTACGTAGAAACAAATATATAACTGAAAATTCAATAACTTGTGAATTGCAAGGTATATTTTTCCAATACGTTATTTTGTTAGGTTCATTTTACCATCACATCTATATCACTCAGCTGAAGTTTTAGGGCTACCTATGTAATTCTTTTATGAAAATGAATGTAGCCCAGGAATAGGAAAGTACACAAAGTAACCAGGCAAATCAATGAAATCCTAGCCCTTAAAAATATAAAAGATAGAACTGTACATTGAAACAATAGAGATACTATTAATTCAAAATCCCAAATTCTGCAAACCTAAGGCCAATAGAAATTTTCCCTGTGATTTGTTTTTTAAATTCCAGTGGTAGCAGTTATTTTAAACAAATAAACATTAACCTGATGTGTTTGCAAGCCAAGCAGTACCACATTAAGAAATTGAAACTGAAAATGATTATACAAGACAGGGGTGGCCAACCTGAGCCAGAGAAGGAGACAGAATTTACCAATGTACATTGCCAAAGAGCCACAGTAATACATCAGCAGCCCCCCCATCAGGTTCCCCCTGCCCGCTCCCAGTGCCTCCCACCCACCGGCAGCCCTGTTGATCAGCGCCTCCGGGCACCTCCTGATCAGCTGGTTTGTGGTGTGCAGGAGGCTCTGAGAGTGAGGGGGAGGAGTCAGGGCATGGCAGGCTCAGGGGAGGGCGTGGGAAGGGGTAGAGTGGGGGGAAGAGCCTGTGGCAGAGCCAGGGTTTGAGCAGTGAGCACCCCCTGGCACACTGGAAAGTTGGCACCTGTAGCTCCAGCCCTGGAGTCGGTGCCTATACAAGGAGCTGCATATTAACTTCTGAAGAGCCACATGTGGCTCTGGAGCCACAGGTTGGCCACCCCTGATAGAAGATAAAAGTAAAAGTGATTTAATTGACTTTCTTTGTTCAGGCAGGAGGACACTGCAAAAGCAAGCAAGCAATATAAATGATGGAAAGAAAACTGGAATATTTAAAACTCTTTCCATTTTAATTTTAACAACCTCTGACATTAGTAACATGGTAAATGAAATGGTTTGTTTGGTATCTGGGGTTTATATTGACAGTGACCTCTAATAATGAAGGGCTGGATTATAATTTTACCATCTAGCCTGAATAAGGGGAAGGATGTCACTGCCCTGCACAATCTGGTCAGGAACCAAGGCTCTGAGAATCAAAACTTGGTGCTTCCCCTTCTGTGCTGGCTTTGGGGCACAGGCCAACATGTTGTGGAGCAGATCCTGCCCGGTCCCTACTGTGTCTGTCCATCCCTGCCCATCTGTGTGGGAATAGAAGTAGCAGCTGGCTGTGGTTGCGCTCTTACAACATGTAGACTTCGAAGATGTGGGTAGCTCATGAAAGAGAGTAAAGGGGCTCAGTGGCTACAGTGTGTGTAAATAAGTGAACAAGACACATTACCTCAAATCATTCGAATTACTGCATTGTTTCCCTTATTGTCCTGTTAAAAGGATAGTCCCTTGTCTCTGACATAAGAGAAAATAGTTCAAATCTTCCCTCAGCTATACCTGTGTCACCTCATTTAAGTCAATGTGGTGTAAATAAGAGCAGAATTAGGCTCAATTTATAGAACAGTGTTGGCATTCCAGGGAACTCTAAGCCCAGGCCCACCTCTCCTACCTATTCTGCAGCATTCCTTCTTGTTGAAGAAGGCAGGCAGGATGCATCTTCAGCAATGTTAAATAGATGTGAAGACTAGTTAAGAAGGAATTTTCTTGTTTTAATCTTGGCCAAGTAGAGCATCACATATTTGATTCTGTTCCTCCTCAGTTAATATTTGACATAGGTGAGCTGTTGTCTCTTCTTCTACAGCTTAGGTGAGTAATGCAGAGAAAAAAGCAAATCTTGTCACAATATTTAAAACAGACCTCCCAGCTTCAAAAGGCATGACATTTAGGCAGAAAAGTATGAAATCTAGTGACTAATTTGGGTTTTTTCTGTGTTTTACAAGGGAGGATAAAAAAATATATGGGTCCAAGGCAGTTTCAGAGCAACTATCTCATAGTCTGTATGTGATTTCAGCTGCCCAGGTCCACAGTCATAGCCACAGACAACAGGACCAGAACACTGGTCCAATATATGTCTGGGTCATTTCTCCATTTGATATGCAGGCATAACAGTGGGAGTTACACTTAGATTCTGACGGGAGAATGGATACATTCACAATTCTATTTTAACCTTGTTTTTCAAATTTAATTACTTAAATGTTGAGAGCTGAATTGTACTTTCGAATTATATTTACAAAAAGGGGAGGCATAAATTAGATGCATGTTTGGACAGGGTGTGTCTTAATCTAAGCAGTATAATTTGTCCTCCTCCTTGGAACATATAGAAGTTCCTTTGCAAGTTTGGAGGGGTTGTGGCTGTGCAGGGAGCAGATGGATCTGGAGTTAAGATACTATCTACAACATCATCCCATTTCAGATCTGCATAAAATGTATCATATCAGATAATGCTGATTTCTTGAATGGTAGCTTATGAAGAGCTTCCAGCAAGCTCCAATTCCTTCATTTCCTAATGGCTCAGACTCCTTACGTGGGCCCCACTAAGGTGTCTTGTCTATAGGGCAGCTCCAATGCCAGCCTGTTGGGGTGTCCTCGTACCCCTACGCTGCCTCCACCACTTGCAGATGTATGTTGGTAACTGTGTGATTCCTGGGAGCACTCCATGCTCCCCCTGTAGCCACAATAGCCTTTGAACCTCTGTGGGGTGGTTGTTCAGCCCTTCCATATGGATGATGCTCTGGAAAGTCCACAGATTGAGTTTTCTGCTTCCTGCTAGCAAATCTACAGCTTTATATGATTTTGATTTAGCCCTGAATTTGCTCTTACAAAACATGTTTCTGTATTTTCACTGAGTAAAATTTTCAAAAGTTTCTAAGTGACTTAGGCACCTAAATCCAGCTGACTTTCAATGGGACTTAGACTCCTGATAGTGGGATTTTTTAAAAATGTACTTGAACAGATTAGGTGCCTAACTTTCATTGAAATCAAATGGGAGTGAGGTGCCTGAAGTGTAACATTCCTCAGATGTTTTTGCTACTTATTAATGTGGACTAAAACTATTTTCTCTTTTCACAGAGCCCAACCAACGAAGACCCACAGCTATCCCACAAACAGCAGAGATATTGCCTGCAATACCTGAACATGAGCATTTTCAGCAGGCGTAGGAGGTAAACAAATACCTTAAACCTCTCAGATGATTCGGCTTTCCCATCTATTGTTAAAATCAACAGATTAACCACATGCAATATGTACTCTAAATAAATTACATCGTACTTCTGGCCAAGATGCAGAAGGTGGTGAACTTGAAAATATGTTTCACAAGAGCTAGATGGCAGGAAAACAAAATCAATTTTTCTTTTAGCACCAAGACTGATCAATAAACTAATATTTTAATCTGTTAAAAGATTGTGTGCCCCTGAAGACTTTAGCAGAAACCTTGGCACGTGGAGTAGTGTGTCCTGGATTTCAGAAGCAAGCTGACAGTTGTTTCTGACAAGGAGTGAGGCTATGGGAACCAGAGAAAGCAGCAGGAGAAACAATTTGCTAACGAGTCCTGAAAAGAACCATGCGTTTGAAATAATAAATAATTTGCTGACCAAATGCAAACAGCAAAGAATTCCACCATCAGTCCACTCTGACCACATTACAGCAGTCAGCAGAAATGACTGAAGATGTGGGTTTCAATCAGAGGTGGGCCCAACTGTGGAGTTCAGATTCACTTTCAAACTTCCTCAAAATTCAGAAGCATCTGGATATAGGTGTCAGTTCTAATCTCAACAGACATGGAGACAGACAAGTCTGAAAAGACATACATACTGAAAGGTGTTTTAATGTCTGAAAATGAAATAGATCATATTTGAAACACACAAAACAAAACTACATAGAAGACAGGGGCCTACAGATACTTCCACAGAATTGTCATTGTATATGAAAAATTACTTAAGTTAAAAGCTTAAGAAAATCCTTCATTATTTACGTACATTAAGTCTGCAGGCTTACAGAAAGGATATACTTTTGGTTTAATCGTAAATTTTCCAAAAAAATCGTATTTGCTAAAATACAGTTTGACTTCAGTAGTTCAGGTGTGTTAGGAGTATTAGGGTCAATGTAGTTTTGCCTGAGATAGTACTTTGAGTTCCGCTTGCCTATTTGGTTTTGGATGTATATGGACACTGTTAGAGTTTGGTATTGCTCAGGTACGGGGTTCTCCTTTGCCCCGTTAGAGATAAGGACGAGCTATCAGGTCTGGATCATTTTCCACAGCCCAGCTTCCCAAAGTCTGTCTGTGACATCTCACTCATTGAATATTAGACTTTCATTCATTTGCGAATGAGGAAATGGCTGCCCTCATTTAATTAGTGACAAGCCTGTGCCTTGGTATGCTGGCATCCTAGATGAGAATGGGATTTAAATCTTGCTTCAATCTCTCACTTGTTTGCTGCTCCTTTCCTCTCACTAGTTGATTTGGTCCCATTTTTCTATCATTTCCTCTTTCAAAAGGGTGTCCCCGGTTGTGCTCACTCACCTCCAGTAGGCACCTATTATTTCTCAAAAATGCCCCCAGCATCCTCTGCACCAGCGGCAGTGATGCATTGAAGAGCTATCTTGACAGTCAACATAAAGGATTCTGGGGTTCACTTGAGTCATAAAACCACAACTGACCAGACACACAGAAATCTTTTTTCATTATTTGGGTGGGGGAAATTTTAATGTGCAGAATCTCGAGAGCCAGGAAAGAGCAGTTAGGGACAGGCCTGGGTATCACAGGCCTTTATTTGGTGGGTAAAGACCACTGTATCCCCTTTACATTAGGTCTCCTGGGTTATCAGGGCTTCAGAATTCCCTGGCTATTGATTTTGCTCCTGTCCTTCATTTTGAGGGGTAGCTGTGTTAGTCTGCATCTGTAAAAGTGGCAAAGAGTCCTGTGGCACCTTATCGACTAACAGACGTATTGGAGCATAATCTTATCCTTCATTTTGACTGTTTTTTCATTAGACTTTTTTTCCCTTGGTGATAAAAAGGAAAATTCAGTACAGTGAAAGTTATAAGAAAACTACATTTATTAAATACTTTATGAGGGGATCCACTAAACTTAAAGTAAATGAGAAATGGCTCTCTTTTTTCTCCCACATTCCTTTTATCTGATAATAGTTTCTTCTTCAGTTTCAGGCATTCCAGTACAAAACATAATCGATACACCATGAAAGAAGTCATCTTCATTTCCAAAACATCCTTCCTTCGTCACCTTTTATTCCTGAGAATGCCAGGAACCTCAGTTAACATGATTTTGTATTAGTCAAAACCACTCTATTAAAATATGAACAATGGATAAACTGATATGGTGCTGTAGCATCAACCTCAGTGGAAGACTATAGATTTCATATCTATTTTGGGTTCATTCAGGATTTATTCTTACTCACAAAGTTGAGAGATTATCCTTGCTATAATTTTTCTTTCCAGCTGAGAAGAAATCAATTTGTATTCTCTGTGAAAAAATGAGACTGTTTTAAATGGAAAATTTTGATGGACCATGGATGTTAGTTTGTGAAATGTGAATGTCATAGGTGACAATGATCCTTAAAGGTGTAGTCGCTGGCTGCTGCTGAAGAAGCAAGAAGGGTCACATATCATGGGCTAAATCTTGAAGTTCAATGTGAAAACAATGGAACTTTTGCAGTGAAGTCAATGAGAGTTTTGTATGTACAAAGACTGCAGAATCTTAATGGGTTAAGGGGAAAATGTGGATAAATAGTGCAGATTTGGCTTCAAACTATGAAACCAATTTTTTTAAACAACTCATTAGCAGCACCAAATGGATTTTGTACTACTTGATAATTGCAATCCTATTTTTGCACCAGCTTAGGTCATTAGAATTCAGACTCATTATCTCCTGCAACTTTTCCTTATTTTCCATTTATTACTGATCCTTTGAGTGTAGTGGAGCTGTTTGGGCTTATCAGGGTCCCAAACTCATTCTGTGCTTACACATTATTTGTGGGTACAATTTAGCCATAAATTACCAGCAAGAGACTGAAATTGCAGAGCCAGGGCTTCTAACTCCCTTGTGCTAAATCCATCAGGATGAACAGATTGTAAACTGCCCATTGCAAATATGATATGCAGTAATTTAGCATCATGTTAATGCTGAATAACCTCCATCTCTTACATTTATATGGCTCTTCCCTCCAGAAGCTTTCTGAAATTGCTTCTCTAGTCATTATACTGTACCGAGCAGTTCAGATTTAATAGGAACAATTGTGAACATTAGTTTTTGAATGGCTGAGCCTATTTGAAATTTTTATATCTAGTTGGATAAACTTGAAATATTTATTTCTACTGCTTGTGTCATCATATTACAAAAAAATCCAGGAAAAACCTTGATTTTGTTGTGTCTTTGGGGCTGATATGGTTAGTTGTAATAATAACTTCAAACCTTCCAGAAATGGCCTCTTAAATATAGTATATAAAATAAACTTTTGCCTCTATTTAGTTTGGTTTTCTTTATTGAAACTTACGGATGGAAGGGTGATGTTTAGGTTATTTTAAATCAATGACAGATTGTTAGTGCTTTTCTAGTGAAGGTTTAAATGCTTCAAGGGATGGCACTTTCACTGCTTTCTATAAGAGATTACTCAATAATCGAAAGAGATCTCACTGTCAGGAATTTTTTCTTCACATAAGCCTATTTTTCCCTTAATTTAATTCCATTACTTCTGCTCAGACCCCATTATACCAACCAATACAATTCCTCTTTCTCACTCCTTAGATGTCATTGGGCTAAACTATAACTTATGTAGCTATTTGATTTCCTCCTCATCAATTTTATTTTTTCAGTTCACCAGATGAACTGAAAAAATAAAAAAAAATGTTTTGGGTTGACTTGAAATGGAATTTTTAAAATATTTCAGCAAACTGAAAAAGTTGGGAAAAATGTTTCAGGTGAATGAAACATTTCATTCAAACTGAAATGAAATGTTTCATTTTGTTTGACTTTTTTTACCCTTTTAAAATTAAAACAAAAATTAGACAGAAGTAAATTTTGAAAGGAATAGTCATTTCCAACTGAAAATCAAAACATTTAAATTTTTTCCAAACTTTTTTGGTTTTGACCAATACAATTCAGTTAGTTCAACATGAATTTTCAGTATGTTTCAGCGGCAAAGAGTCCTGTGGCACCCTATAGACTAACAGACGTATTGGAGCATAAGCTTTGTGGGTGAATACCCACTTCGTCGGACCCACGAAAGCTTATGCTCCAATACGTCTGTTAGTCTAAGGTGCGACAGGACTCTTTGCCGCTTTTACAGATCCAGACTAACACGGCTACCCCTCTGATACTTGACAGAACGTTTCAGTCAACCTGAATGGTTTGGTGAAAAAAAGTGTTGTCCAAAATTTTTTGCCCAGCTCTATTCAATGTAATCAACCAATTCCTGAGTGCTAATGCTTCCTATGCAACCCTTTGCATCTGAGCTGTTGATGAACAGTGTCCAAAGTGATCAGAAGCACCATGAGTAGGGTTGTGAAGTTACATGCTCAAAAATGGGATTGAGATGTCTCCACAAATGTTTAAAAATTCTTGTTGAATTACACAGTGCCCCACTCTTGGGTGCTTGAGTTTAGCCCCATAGTTAGATTCCTTTCGTTGACCTAATCTTGACAGATAAAGAAGAACTGATCACAGAACTAAAAATTAATGATAGCTTAGGTAGAAATGATCGTGACTTTATCACATTTATGATGTGCAAAGAGAATAAATTCCAGACTAGTGATGGTCACACACACACTCACACTCTCTCTCTCTCTGCTTTAAAAGGGCTAACTTCAAAAAGCTGAAAACAATTATGAGCCAACTCTGCTGGGAGAAAGAATTTAATTAGAAAAATGTGAATGATAAAGAATACTTTACCAAATGCCCCAAAAGCCACAATCGAGGAAGAAGGCTGTATCAATTTTTAAAAAAATGACCTGGTTTAGAAGTCTATCTATAAAACAAATGGAATAAAGGGAAAGCCGATAGTAATGACAACAAATCAGAAGCTAGGAAAAGACAGTTACCTTTCCGTAACCGGTGTTCTTTAAGATGTGTTGTTCATGTCCATTCAACTTAGGTATGTGTGCTCACCACATGCACTGGTGCCGGAAGTTTTTCCCTCAGCAGTATCTGTAGGGGACCGGCTCCCGCACCCCCTGGAGTGGTGCACATATGCTGCAGTAAATAGGGCACCACCCATTTCCTCCACCCACAGTTCCTTCTTGCCAGAAATTCCAATAGTGGGGAAGGAGGGCAGGTTGTGGAATGGACATGAGCAACACATCTCAAAGAACACCAGTTATGTGTCCATTCAACTTAGGTGACTCCCAAGCAGTACCCCTGGAAGGTGGGTAGAAGTTCACAGATGTGTAGATTGAAACACTGCTCTGCCGAACCCAGCATCACCCCTGGCCTGCTAAGTGATGGCATGGTGGGCTGTGAACATGTGCACCGAGGACCATGTCGCGGCTCGACAGATGTCCTGGATCGGGAAGTGTGCCAGGAAGGCTGCCGAAGATGCCTGCGCTCTGGTCGAGTGGGCTCTGACGATTGGTGGCAGAGGGACTCCCACCAACTCATAGCAGGTCCGAATGCAAGAGGAAATCCTCTGCATTCGGACAGTTAGAAATCCTCTGCGTGGACACCAGGAGGCCCTTCATCCTATCAACTGTAGAGATGAAAAGCTGAGTCAACCTATGGAATGGCTTTGTCCAATCTAGGTAGAAAGTCAGGGCCCTTCTTGCGTCCAAAGCATGAAAGCACCTCTCTTCACTAGTCTCATGGGGCTTAGGGCAGAAGACCGGAAGGAAGATGTACTGGCTCATGTGGAAAGTAGACACCACCTTGGGAAGGAAGCTGGGTGGGGCCGGAGCTGGACCTTGTCCTTATAGAAGGCCATGTATGGCGGTTCTGAGGTCAGGGCTCACAGATCGGAGACTTGCCTCACCGATGTCACTGCCACCAGGAAAGCTACCTTCCACGATAGGTGAGACAGAGAGCATGAGGCCAAAGGCTCAAAGGGCGGGCCTGTGAGCCTAGACAGAACCAAGTTGAGATCCCACTGAGGGACAAGGGACTGAACTTGAGGAAAAAGTCTCTCGAGACCTCTGAGGAACCTGACTGTCATGACATGGGAGAACACCATCTGCCCCTAGATGGGTGGATGAAAGGCAGAAATAGCCGCCAGATGTACTCTGATAGAGGAGTGCGTCAGGCCCTGGTTCCTCAACTGAAGCAGGTAGTCTAAGATCGACTGCCCCGAAGAATGCGAAGGGGAGATGCCCCGTTTGGCCGCTCAGTGGGAGAACCTCATTCACTTTGCCAGGTAAGTCTGTCTAGTCGAGGGCTTTCTACTGTTGAGGAGGACCTTCTGGACCTCTTCCGAACAGGCCCATTCCTCAGGGTTCAGCCACACAACATCCATGCCGTGAGGTGGAGGGATGCGAGGTTGGGGTGCACTAGTTGACAGTGATCCTGTGACAGCAGGTCTGGTCGGTTTGGCAGGGGCCACAGAAGGATCGTCGACAGGCTTAATAGCATCCCAAACCGGTGCTGGCAAGGCCACGCCGGGGCGATCATGATAACCTGAGCCTTGTCTCTTTTGATTTTCGCTAGGACTTTGCTGATGAGCGGAATTGAAGGGAATGCATATATCAGACTTTCTGCTTATGGCAGGAGGAAGGCGTTGGAGAGGGAGCCCTTGTCCAGACCCCATCTGGAGCAAAACCTGTGACACTTCCTGTTCTGCCTGGTGGCGAACAAATCCACTTGGGGAGTTTCCCACCTCTGGAAAATCATGCCAGCTACCTCCGGGTGGAGCACCCACTCGTGGTGAGAGAAGTCCCTGCTTAGGTGATCTGCTAGTGTGTTCTTGGCACCCGGAAGGTGACATGCTTCTAGGTGGATTCCATGGTCAAAGCAAAAGTCCCAAGGACAGATTGCCTCTTGGCAGAGGGCGGAGGATCGCACTCCAACTTGTCTGTTGATGCAGAACATCGAGGCTGTGTTGCCTGTCAGGACTCTGATCACTTTGCCCAACAGGTAAGGTCGGAAGACCGCGCACGCTTTGCGCACCGCTCTGAGCTCTTTGACATTTATGTGTAGCGTCATTTCCTCTGGGGACCACATACCTTGGGTCTGGAGGGTGCCGAGGTGTGCCCCCTAGCTGAGGTCCGAGGTGTCAGAAACCAACTCGAATGAGTGAGGACTGCTGTCGAAGGGGACTCCTTCAGGACTTTCTCGGGGTTGGTCCACCATCGCAGCGAGGTAAGTACAGTTGCAGGGATGGTAACGACCTTTTCCAGATGGTCCCTGGACGGGGAGTAGACAGTTGCCAGCCATGGCTGCAGGGGTCGCATCCAGAGCCTGGCACTGCCATGTGACCTAGTAGGTGCAGGCAAACCCTGGCCGTGGTGAGGGGAAATGTGGAGACTTCCGCAATGAGGTCTTTCAGTGCCCAGAATCTCTCCAGTGATAGATAGAGTTGAACACCACTCCGATGAACTCTATCCTCTGTACCAGAACTAACATGGATTTTTTTGTTGTTTACCAACAGGCTGAGGCAATGATAGGTGGCTAACAGCATCGCGACATGCCTTTGGACCTGGGACCTGGAGCTGCCCTTGACATCTGACATGCACTTAGTAAATACAGCCACCACCAACATGCACTTGGTAAATACCTGCAGTGGGGTCACTAGGCCAAACAGGAGGACCGCAAACTGATAGTGGTTGGGACCTACCATAAAGCAGAAGAAGCATCTGTGTCCCTCAACGATGGCGATGTGAAAGTACACATCTTTCTGATTGAGGGTGGTGTACCAGTTTCCCTGATCCAGGAAGGGCATGATGGAGGCCAGGGGCACCATGAAGAACTTCAGCTTCGCTAGGAAGCGGTTCAGGTCTCAGAGGTCCAGGATAGGTCGCAGACTGCCATTGGCCTTTGGGATTAAAAAGTAGTGGGAATAGAACCCCTTGTTTCTGTACTCTGGAGGAATGATCTTCACCATACCTAGATGCAGTAACCCCTCTACCTCCTGTGTGAGGAGACTCTTGTGAGAAGGGTCCCTGAAGAGAGATGGGAGAATGGGTGGGAAGGAGGGGTAGAAAGTAACTGAAGGGTGTAACCCCACGCCACCGTACTGAGGACCCATTGGTCCGATGTTATAGATACCCTTGCAGGGAGGAAAGGAGAAAGGTGGTTGGCAAAAATAGGGGAGGGAGGATCCTGGGAACAGTCCGGAAGGTCGCCCTTGGGCATACCCTCAAAATGAGCACTTGCCTGCCTGCTTATTGCTGGTTGAGCTTGACTGAAGGGCCTGCGAAGGTTGTTGGCTAGGATGCCTCTTGTAGCCTCTGGATTTCTTACGGGGAGGCTCCTGGCAAGGGTGGCTCCCCTGGCCCTGAGGCTGCTGCGGCTCAAACCACTTACGGGCAGGGCCG